GTTATAATACAATATGGAATTGTTAACAGCAAAGTAAAGATGAATAAGGCACCGTTTTACAGGACTTCTACAGTTCAAGAATTTCACAATAGTCTTACTTACTTTAAAAGTACTAACACTTTCAAAGAATTAATAAAATATGTACCAAAGCAACTTGGTGACAATTGAATAGGTTGTGGGCAAAAATTGATGGTCCCCATGTGATAATTATACCTCATTTTCAGCAAGTCAACATTTATCACCAATGTAAAACAAGAATTAGGTAATGCATTGATAGTAGAAAAGTGTCTTCTTCTCCAATACTAATTTTAATCTCGTCTGATCTTATCCAATATGGTCCGAACTAGGGCCATGCCAACGACATACAATTCAATTTACATGTCTTGCCAAATTTCAAATTTGTTTAAGGAGAAAAAAAGAAGACATAAGTTTGTTATATAGATAATAGAATCGAGTACTAACCGAGCATAACCAAGGGGGTGATAAACTCCAAAGGAGTATTGATAACGCCCATCAATATCAACTTCCCATCAACTTTCAACAGAGAAAGGTAAGGCACCAAAGGATGAAAAACTGGAATTGTGTCAATAATATAGTCTAGTGAGTCAACCAGTTCTTGCATCCGAGTTGAGTCCGAGCTGACCAGGTAATCATCCGCTCCAAGATGGTCCAATGCCTCCTCTTTTTTCTTCATTGAAGAGCTAATCACAGTGACATGGTGGCCCATGGCCTTTGCAATTTTGACTCCCATATGTCCAACCCCTCCAAGCCCTAAAATTCCCCCTCTTAGCCCACTCTTTTTTAACCCAAAATGGTTTAATGGGCTGTATACTGTCACCCCGGCGCAAAGTAGCGGCGCCGCCTGTTCTGCTTCCATACCGTCTGGAATTTTTACCATGAAGCTGTAAAAGTAAACAACATTAATCAAACACGTCAAGTCAACCTCGTGAAAATCCAAATCATTTTTTTTCCAAACTTTTGACACGTAGAGGTGTCAATTGGATCGTAATGACTTGATTAATTACAAAGTGATCTCGATTGGTCGGGATGTTGTGGTAGGCAATATTTCTACGCTATCCGTCTCGACCAACAGATCCGTCCAAGAGTGGGTAGGACCAGAGTCGGGACCGCCATTCATCCGAAAATTTCATTTACGAATAGGGTGTATCGATACTTACTTTTGATTAACCACCATTGCATCAGCAAATCCCCCTTGAGTGGGTTTTCCATCAGTATAGACATCATTGTAGGACCAAATCTTCTTGTTGCAGTATTGCTCAATTTCTGATTTGCACGGTTGACAATTCCCGCAGCATCCGACGATACAGCCAACTCCAACTATATCTCCGGCCGTGAACTTGGTCACACCAGATCCCACCTCAACAACCTCACCGACCACCTCATGACTATGTATGGCAGCACAACAATTAAAATTATTATTTAATTTGGCAATAAATGAGAAATAAATAAAATTAAGGTTGGACGCATGTGTATGTCTTGAATTAATCTACTTGTACAATTATTGTTGATAATAATAAATGACAACATTACTGTTGTCCAAATCTGATCCATTAATTTTAAAAATAGTTTTTGAAATGAATAAATGTAATGTTAACAAGTATGATTGTCAATTAATATTTTAAGAAATGATTGTACAAATAGCATGACTCTTATATCTTTAATTATTGTAGTACGTCAATGGTGTCTGCACATTTATTTAATTAATAATATTTTTAAGAATGTTAATTGGTTTTGCGACTTCCAGATGAGTATAGGAATATAACAGAATATGTGGACCTGTGGTCAGAATTGCACCAAGTTGTTTAAATTTTTAGCTTGGTCCCATCCCTATCGGTTTTGCAAGAAAATCTGAAAGAGTGGCATCACTTTATTTTTTATTATTTTAATCGAATTTCAAATTCGTGTGTTATTCTCTTTGTTAGAATGCATCACAATTCAATTGCACAATAAATCAAGAATCAATCATCTCTCGTCACACCATCTGTTGGTAAATTAATATGTAAGTTGTGATGTACATATAGTATGATAATAGCTAGATTGGTAATCATCATAATGGTCAATAATAAAAAAAATAATTTCATATTTATTGGATAATTAAAAGAGGAGCAATGATAAACATAAAGCTATTACTAAAATCTGATAAAAAATTTATCAAAAGCTTTCTCATACATGCCCGTAGCCCATGTTTGGTTTAGTTAAAAAAATCGATTAAAATCTAATATATTAATGACCCGTTGTTTTAACAAATCCAAACAAGGAGTTAATCTCATTTATATTAATGACCCGTTGTTTTAAAAGCTAGCATAATTCTACTTATATACAAGTGAAGAATGTAACACACAAACAGAGAAAGTAGGTAGGTACCCTGGAACCATGGGATAATTGGACATGCCAAGATGATTTTTGACTTGATGAATATCAGTATGGCAAATCCCACAGCAAATCACTTTGACAAATACATCTTCAGGGCCTGTACTCCTGTCAATGAACCAGTTCCAATACAGAATAATCAGATTAAATCAGTCATCAGTGGAGAAAAGAACAAATCACACAGAGAATAATTGGTGAGGTTTGAATTTGAAGCTGACCTGAGAGTGTATGTATATGGTGAGAGAATTCCAGAAGGGTCTGTGGCTGCCAATCCTCTTGTTTTCCTCTCGACATCCAAACTCCCCATAGAAACCTTTACACTTTGAATATTTACTTACTCGAGCGAGAGAGAGAGAGAGAGAGAGAGGGAATATTATGGGTTAAGAAAGTAAAATGAAAGAAATTTGTAAAAGTTAAAGCTAGACAAATTCAGGCAGCGACATTTCAACATATAAATAAACCTGTCATGTTGGTGGGGTGGGGTGGAGTTGGTGAACAGAACTTTCCGTTATCTAATCAAACGTTATAAATGGAAAAATATGATTATAAATAAATCCGTACACATGTTTGGAAAATGTTATAAATAATTAAAAATAAGTGACGAATAAGTAAATAATACATATAAATCCCACGGAATATGTGGGCAACAACCGATTTAATCTTTTATTAATAAATTACCAGCATCAGCCAAACATGCGTCATCTTATAATTTAAGCCTAGGTTTAGGATGAAATTATAAACGGCTTAATTTATAAATAGATAGAAACAAATGGTGTATAAGTAGATAGTTTGTGGGTTCGTTGAAATGCATAATTGAAAATGAAATTCAATTATTCATAAATTCTGCCAAAATCGAGGATAAATTTCGTCAAACATTTCATTAATATTTTAATTATAATAGTCTATTCATTAACTGATCAGTTTTTAACTTTTTTGCATACTTAAATTGCATGATATTGCTATAATTAATAAATTAATTTCAAGTAGGTGGCTTGCTTGGTCTTAGATGTTGTGCCATCGAATAGTATATTTATTTATTAGTAACTAGCATTATAGTCCACCAAAAATGGACAGAAAATAAAAATTTTTAATTTTTTTCCATTAATATTATGTAAATATTTTCTAAGCATTTTTATTCTTTTTCAAAAAAAAATAAAAATAAAAATTGGAATTGGGGGTTGGTGAAAATGCTACGTCATGATTCATCATGCACCCGTCAGATCATCACCGTTTTTTTTTTTTTTTTTTGGCATTTTCTTTGATTTTGAGAGGGGGGAAAATTATTTAGTTAAATTTATTACTATTTACTAGTAGTGTCTTTGCTTTCAAGAAACAATATTAACTGATTGGTTGATCTTTCCCTTTTTTTTTTTTTTTTTTTTTTTTTTTTTTTTTTTTTGGGCATTTGCTATGATTATGAAAGGGTGGAAAATTATTTAAGGCCTTTATGCTTGACAGTTATTAGGGAGATAAGATTACAAATTATTCCTCTTTCCATTTAATTTGGATTTCTACATCATAATTTTCTATATCAATCATGCATTATATCTTAATATCTTATATCTAGCAAAACACGATGAATGGAATGAATATAGTTTTCATTCATGGCAAAACTGATATTTTTCGAAGCTTCGAATAAATTTTAGAGTCTTGAAATATAGTTCTTAAATGCTCCTTGAGCTCTCTTATATCGAGAAAATCTCATGTTTAAGTCATGTTCGCATTGTTCTCAAAAAGTGTAAATAAATCATATGTGTCGATGAAAATCGTTAAACTTTTGTTTGGCACACGTTATTTAAAATTATTTTTCCTCGAACTCATTTACAACAACGCATTCTTTCACTAAAGTCATTTTGCATTAGGACCTATAAATTTTTTCTACTTTTTAATTATAAATTCAAAAAAAAAAATCATTTCAAATAATTTTTTCAAACAAACTATACTAAATAAGCAAATTTAGTACTATGTAAATGGGAAAGTAAGATTTTCTAGATTAATGAATATGGTCAATTTATAGTGGGAATGCTCGAAAATTTGTAACGAACAACTAGCAATAGACTGAGAATAAGTCAGAACAATTTTCGCTGAAAATATTCACCAACTCAAATACATTAGCAAGTCAATGAGATTTGAAAATGACCTTCGAAAATCGGAGAAACCGAGTCCATGGCACAATAAAAGAAAGATTATATTTAATGTAATTATATATTAAAAAAAAAAGAGTATAGACATTGACAAATTCTTATGTTATATATTTTTTTAAGTATACACATTCTCATCCAGACTTATCATAGATTACAAAATTCTCAATAAAATTTGGGGGTTCCCCAACCCAAACAGAATCACCAAGACTTGAAGTAACACGATTAGCTAGAAAATTAACGATGAAATTCGCTTCACATTGAGCAAAAACGCAAATTAAAGAAGGGAAGTAAACAAAATGATTCGAGATTTGCATCAAGATAGCTCATCTAGATGGCTTGAGCTTGTACAACAACTCGACTGAGGTCATAACAAGGTCTTCAAAGTGAGAAAATTAGTCCCTCAAAAGCTGCAATTACCTCTCTACCATGGTTTACCCCGGACGTTGTGTCACCACCACCATTCTA